AGGATCTGTATTAAAGGGTCACAGCCTTAGGAAGGTTGATAATCCTGTGTTAGAGGGTTTACGAGAACTGAAGGATAGTGAAAGGAAAGGGAAGGGTGCCTTCATTCACTGTAGGGACAGCAGAGATAGACTTGAAACAGAATAGGCTAATCTCAATGTGAGAACAGATAAATGGCCAGGGTGGCCAACTGCATCAGTAAAGAGGGAGTATTGCCTGAGATGAGTAGGGAGGGAATCATCTGAAGTGATTGGGACCACTTTGTCATTTTCCATGATGTGAGCATTGGGGGGGATAGGGTGAAGTGGTGAGAAGGCTTCGTTCTTTGTGAACTGCGAAGGGAAGGAATAGTTGGATGAGTCCTAAGCTTTGTTTTAGATAGATGGCATTCACATGGAGACAGGGATGGAAGTAGAAATAGCTTTGGAAAGAACATCTTGAATTCAGTTTAACTGAGGTGGTATTTGGCAGACAAAGTAATCAGTGTTGGGACTTCGGAGTCATGTTCATAGTGATGGTGAGGTGGGTATTGACATGGTCACATGCCTAGGATGTGGGTAGAAGGAGAAAAGCCACTTCTCCTAAACATGGATATTGAGTTCTGGGCCTGAAGAAGACATGTCCTGGACCTGTTGAACAGCATCACAAACTGGAGGGTTGCCATCAATATAGTGTGAAGGGATTTGGAAGAACATGAGGTCTCCAGAAGCAGGAAAGAGATGTTCTGGAGGGGGAGGTTTGGTAGAGTTGAGTTTTTTTCCGTACTTTGTTTTCTTTCATAATAGTCTTATTTGTCTGTTCTCTTTAGCATATGAAGTAAGATGCTGCTCACCAAGACACCATTCCTCTGAAAAATACAGCTCTTTTTTAATGACTAGTCAAAATATAGAACATGTATATTTTACTTTAGAGTGATGCAAAAATACAGGCATTCAGTAGAATCTGAACTTTAAATTCTGAAGTTAGGTCTTCACTGAGTTAGTGATATGGGGCCCACATGCTATGTGTGGAGTACAGGCAGCCCTATAATCTCCAGTGGGAACCATTTCTTGAGCTAGGATGTGCAATGTGTGGCAGAGTATCTGCACTTCCGGTTGAGAGAGTGTTTTTGAAGGTAGGGTGGGTCATAAAATTATAAATCCTGGAATATTAGTGTTGAGAATATAGGAAAGAAGCATTAATTTTTAAACTACTTCCTTTGGCTATTCAGTATAACTACAGTTTTAATTCAGACTTTGGAAAGCTGTTTCTGTGGTGAACCAGATAATACTCTCAGCATTTGTGAGAGTTACATTCTATGGATCAAATTCATTCAGCCCAGTGATGTAGCATGAAAACAATTGTGGAAAACATGTAAGAGAGTGAGTGTGGCTGTGTCCTATAAAACTTTATTTCACTGTGGGCAGCTGGCCAGATTTGGTCCATGGGCTGTAACTCTCCAGACCTCTAGTGTTTTGAGACTCATACTCTTAACCTTTGAAAGTTGAAGCTATAAAGTGCTGTTTTTACTGGCATAGACATTTAATTTGTTACTTTATGTTAAAAAATACTTTTTAACCAATTGTCTTGTAAACTAATCTTATTCTACAAAGTTTTGGCTACCAAATATATGCATTCTTTTTAGTAGAGTTATGTAAAAATTGTGGGGAAAATGTTTTTAAAGAGCTAACAGACAGCCATCATCCCCCATCATTCCCTGCTGCATAAGCTACCATCATCTTAACTGCAGTGATGCTTTTCCATAAGTCTGTCCTCTGAATGGTGTCCCATGCTTCTGTCAAGTAGAAAAGTTTCCTTCCTATCCTGCAGAGTCTGCAGGGACATTTGGTTCACTGAGAATAGAACACATGTGCTGTGTTCTCCATGTTACATTTACCACGCTACCCTTTCAGTTTCAGATGAAATGCTTACCTGTTCTTTTACCTGAATCATGTGTTCACTCAAACTGCTTAGAATGATATCTGCCCCACGCTGAGGATTTCAATAGTACTGTTATTGTTTTAATAGAGCTGTTGACACGCCTGTCCTGAGGCCTTTTCAGTGTGTGTTCCCATCAACATAGGGCCAGGGCTTTTCCTAAGAACAAAACCTTCTGTGTCCAGACCATTCTACAGAAATATAATAGCCCTTTCAAAATATAGTGTTGGGACAATTGGATCTCCATCTGCAAATAATGAAGTTGGACCCCTAATTATATACAAAATTAATTCAAAATAATCATAGAAGTAAATGTAAGGGACTAAAATTTAAACATGAAAAATAACATATGTCCGTATATTCATTTCCAGCTAATGCAAATATATTCCTAAATATAACACAAAAAGCATATATTTTAAAAAACAGATAAATTATACATTATTTTGTTCACAAGCCACTGTTTAAAATGATGAGATGGGAACGCTCATGATGTGAAGAGTTTATAAGTTACGTATCTGGCAGGGGACTTGTGCTAGAATGTAGACGCCATCACACCCCAGTGGGAAATGATAAGGAACCCAGCTTTAAAAAATGTGCAAACGATTCAATTTACACAGATGGTCACTGAGTGTATGAGAAGACTCTCAATGTCCTTAGTCCCAGTAAAATGCATATCAAGACCACAGTGAGAAAGCACTTTAGACCACAAGCATGATTGTAACCTAAGACCACAAAAAAAAAAAAAAAAAATTGTTGGTTAGGATATGGAGAGACCAGAACCCTTATTTGTATTAGTAAGTGAGTCTGTGAAATGGTGCAGCAACTTTGGTAAAACATTAAACATTGTGTTGTCGCATGCTCCAGCACCTGTTTGCCTAGGTAATTGCATCTAAAAGAGATGAAAACAATAAGAGAAGGAAGCTAATTGCAGAAGCCTACATATTGCATAATCTCATTCATAAGAAATGTTTACAGTAGGTAAATGGATAAAGGAAAAAGAAGAATGATCTGAGTGGGATCTGGGAGCTGGGGAATGACTGCTGATAGCTACAGAGTGTTTGCGGAGTGATAAAATGTTCTAAAGTAAGATGGTAATGATGATTGCATAGTGCTGTGAATTATGAAAACCATTAAATTGTAAACTTTAAAATGGCAAGTTTTATAGGATCTCTATAAACTATTTTATAGTATACTTTATGTATCTCTATAAAGTATTATTTAAAAAAAATAAAATGGGTTGGGAATGGTGGTGCATACTTTTAATCTTAGCACTCAGAGGCAGGGGCAGGTGGATTTCTGGGAATTTAGGGCTTTCCTGATCTGCATAAAGTGATCCAGGTCAACCAGGGCTATATAGTAAGACCTATCACACTAAAATAAAACAAAATGCTAGAAAGATGCCTCAATTTGTAAAAGCATTTGCCTTGCCAGCAAGCGGACCTCAATTCAAATCCCCTGCACCTATGTAAAAACTAGTTATGGTCATGTAAATCTGTAATACTAGTTTGGGGGATCAACAGGTTTTGTGAGCCTACTAGCCAGTAGGCCTAGCTCAAACATGAGCTTCAAGTGTACCTTGTCTCAGAAAATAAGATGGATAAACATAGAGGACAATATACAATGTCCTCCTTAGGCCTCTGAGTGGTGTCTACACCTATATATGTGTTTATACAAAACACAAACATACACAATGAGGGGTATAAAATGGCCTTAGTTTTCCTTTGCACCTTTTTAAACATTATGAGTGAAATGCATGGTTTTTCTTTTTACTTTATAGGCTTTCCCTAAGTTTTGCATACTACTCCAGATGATAAGGATGCAGTTGGTAGAATCCTTAATGAGCTTCTGATGGTGCCATGTACCCATCTATAGATCATGACTTCTCTCCAAGGGATACTCAGTGGCCAGCAAATAATGAAAGCCAATCAATAGTCTTAGTTACCCTCTTGAGAAGTCTGTACATATGAAGACTAAGATATTTTATACTACAGTCATATACCAGGATATAGAAGTTATTTAAGAAATAAATGTAGAAATTACATGATCCTGGGTAATTTTTTGTTTTGTTTTGTTCTTTTGTCAGCTTGATACACACTAAAGTTATCTGAGAAAAGGAACCCAAATTGAGAAAATATGCTTTGTCAGATTGCGTATAGGCAAGTCAGTAGTGTTGTTCACTTGCTTAATGATTGATCTGGGTAAGCATAGCCCATCAGGCAGTGCCAGCCCTGGACTTTGATCCTGGGTTGTATAAGATGGGAGGATGACTAAGTAAGACAAGGACATCAAGCCATTCCTCTGTGGCTTCTGCTTCAGTTCCCATTTCTAGGTTCCTGCCTTGAGTTCCTGCCCTGGCTTCCCTCTACAATGGGCTGTGATTTGGACATATAAGCCCAATAAACTTTTTCCTTCCCAGGTTGCTTTTGGTTATGTTTGCTATCACAGAAATAGAAACCTAACTAAGAATATACCTGTTTCCTTTAAAAAAATAAATTTTGAAAATCTGGAATATGTTGTATTACATCTCAGTACCTCGTTTAAAATCAGTTTATATACACATTAGCATTTTACTACATCACTGTCACTGTGTGGTTTAATATATACATATATATATATATGTGTGTGTGTTAATATATATATATATGTATATATATTAGATACTTTGCCCTTTTTAAAAACAGTCAAAAGTCATTTGCATGTTCGCAGTCTTCGGTGCACAAACATCAACTAGATCTTTTGGAACATGACTTTTTCTAGCCCCCTACCTCCAAGAGTTTTGTTTAAACTTATTTTTTTTAATGAATGCCTTTTGAAGAATAGAGCATTACCCCATCATGCCAGCATGCTGAGAAAACACAAGGGTATTAAATTGTCACAAGTGCCGAATGAATATTGACATAGGTTTCAGCTATTCAAAATTGGATGTAGATGATATCCACATTGGAAATTCTGTTAGGAAATAAATAATACTTCTTGTCTTTTGACCAGCAGAAAACCCCAGAATGTAAAACTTGTGTTTGTCACCCTTGCCATTGTCTCTCACTGATGGCCTTTAGTGCAGCTCATCTCTGCCTTCTCTTTCCAGATTTCCTTTGACCTAGCAGAGTATACTGCAGATGTCGATGGAGTTGGCACCTTGCGGCTTCTGGATGCAATTAAAACTTGTGGCCTTATAAATTCTGTGAAGTTCTACCAAGCCTCAACTAGTGAACTATATGGAAAAGTGCAGGAAATACCCCAGAAAGAGACCACTCCTTTCTACCCAAGGTCACCCTATGGTAAGATTACATGTACCCAGCTGCATGTAATGCTCCCTGCAGGGGTGGGGATGGTTCTGCTTTCCTTCTGCACATGTTTCATAGGTGAAGTCCTTTGGGTATGAGATTGACATTCAGATAGACTAAAGGGACTGGACTTGTTGGGAAATATACTGTATGCATTATTGCCATTGCTTCCAGATGAATTAGCACCTCATTCACTAATCCCTGTTCATCCAACCTTTCTACACATATCACTTTAAATAGAAAGTGGATGCTGTGTTTCTTTTTCTAAGCTGTTTAGATTGTGCTGGGGCAATGAGCTTTTGCATTTATGTTTTTGGTTTGTTTGTTTGTTTTGTAATTTTCCCCATGAAAATTTCTCGGAGCTCAAATCTAGGAAGAAAAAAAAATAGACATATGTACTACATTTGTAAAGAAAATATTCATGAAAAATGTATATGATAACATTTAAAACAGTCTGAATATTAAGATCCCAAATATTTTCTTTATCACTATCTCAAAGTGTGTGTGTGTGTGTGTGTGTGCATGTGAGAGATTATGGGAGGCAGAGACAGTTACAGTCAGTGAAAGAGACAGAGAGAGCTAAGAAAGATGAACTTGATTTATTGTATAGTATGGTTGAATAAATGAGTTAATGAAAGAGTTAATTATGAATGTTAGAAAGTAAGGAATTTTATTTCTAATGCACATGATTACTTGGCACACAATGTTTCTTTTAGTTTGTTATTCATATTTGCCATTTTGATGCATTATGAATAATATTTTGTTAGTTATTACTGATTAAGGTGAACGAAAATCACAGTCCTTTAGAGTAAACTTTGTCTTTAAAAATGTTCCAACAGGAGCAGCCAAACTCTATGCCTATTGGATCGTGGTGAACTTTCGCGAGGCTTATAATCTCTTTGCAGTGAATGGCATTCTCTTCAATCATGAGAGTCCTAGAAGAGGTCAGTGAGTATGTTACCAAAGGAAAATTTGAGACTTTAACCACAGAAAATGGTGTATGTATATTTTGTTGATGTTCTATAGGTTGAAAAAGTTTACTTCTACTTATGTAATAAATGTCTGTGGTAAAAAATAAAGAAATATAAACCCAGCTTTAATTTATAAGAACTTTTAAAATTCTATGTGAAAAGCTGGACAGTGTGCCAAATTTACTAGTTTCGTTAGTAGTTTTCAACCCAAGTACTGGCAAATTTCTCTGTGAATGCAAAGAATAAAATAAGTTACTGGTGGTTTCTGTCACTCATTACTGTTTACTTTGACTCAACCAGCTGAAAAGTAAGCCTCTTCCTTTACATTCCATTAGAGAGACAACAGAAACTATTGTTTCTAAAAAATATTCTAAAACCATTTTGAAACAAGTTCTTAAGCATTATTGGTTTTGCTTGTTTGTTTTCATGAAAACTTTATTTGGTTACATGGGCTTAGTTTTCATTGAGACTATTGGCAATATCATTTCTATTTTCAACATTAGGTTTTAAGTAAGAAAAATATATACTCCCACCATTTCTTCTGATGTAGTGAGACATGAGAAATATTAACCATTCTAAGTGTGTTCTTATTGGAAAGAGAACCCACAATATCATACTATACAAAGTAAAACTTATTTGTATAATTTAAATCAAAGACATTGTATTACATTTAGTGGCCATTTTGTTTTAGAGTGTGAGAATAAATAAGAAGCCCTATATTATAATTTGCTTCTTGCCCAACAACTAGTAAGACATAACTATTTCAGTGAAATTTTATGTGACTGAATACTCACCTAATTAAACCAACAAGTCATAGAGAAAGATTAAAGTGACAGGTTTATAAAGGTATCTTTAGCATCACATATTTTTATTTTATAATTGCTTAAGTTAACAATTCCCATGACGGGCTGTTAAGGCATGAACGCCAACCTGCCATCTCTAATCACAAACAGAAAAACACATACATACCATGTCTTTAATTAGTTTTGTGTCCTGGGTATTGATGGTAAGGGGACATGGGAAAATAGGAGAGTTTCTTTTTCCCTTGTAGCATCTGGTGTGTGCAGCAGGGCAAGGTGGGGTGGGTGTACGGCCACTGTAGGAATCTGCTTGCTGTCTCTCTTATCACAAACATGCTTTTCAACCTGACCCATTCTTCTACTCCTCCCCTAACTCCACCATGCACAAAGTGAAAATTAATTGCTGCAAGTCAGGTTAAGAGAGGAAAAAAAGCATTCTTAAGTTGTACAGTAAAAAAATAATTTAAATATAATGTCTTTGCCTGACCTCTATTTGTACCCTATAAATGAAGCATTTTTCATCAATATTGGTTGTTTTCTGAATTTTAAAAAGTAATATGAATTTCAAAGGAAATTATTTTAAAATGATGTAGAAAGTAAAAACAAAAAATTATATTCCTCATTTAAATTAAATTTCCTGTCATCAAAGTCACTATAAACATGTCCAGAGATGCTCTTCATGCTTACTGACCTGCAAAGAGAGTTTTTCTATATGTCATCCTGCAGTGTGGGTGTCTGTTGAGTCTGTTAGACTTAATCTTGGGCATCCAGAACCCAAAACAGGAGGGGAGAACTAACCCTCAAAAATTGTCCTCTAACCTCTTCAAATATGCTATTACATACTTGTGTCTTCCTGTGTATGCATACACAAATACAAATAGACAGACACAGACTAAAATAAAAATTACCAAAATGGTTATCACATTAAGTTTATTAAATTAAAGAAAACTTGACCTTGTAATATAAGCTATTTTATTTTTTATTACATATACAGAAATTGGTGGTATTCCATTTACATAATCAAATAATTAAAAATAGAAATATGAATATTTGTTAATACTAGCTTTGATAAAACTCTTGAACTCTTATACAACATTTTTAAAACTTGAAAATTAAAATAAAGTTAATATGAAAGTAATTCTTTTAAAAATTAAGCATTGTTTTCTTTGGGGACATTTGTGGCAGATTGAAGCTAAGAAGACTAAACTGTGTTTTTACTCTGAAGACATACCATTGTGCTAATAGGCATTAGGTAAATATTTTTAAAGAAAGAATGAGTGTTTCCTATTTCAATAAAACTCTATTGACTTAAATTTAGAATATTAGAATGAAAAACAAGTAAAAGTTTTTAGGTTAGTGAATGTTGTTTTAAGGTTCCACGCATTTAGTAATAAAACTAACACAAACTATTTGTAGTAATGATTTAGTCTGATATACCCTGATGTAGTGAGATAGTCCTTCTGTGGCACTGACCATGCCCATTGGGGGGTGGAGCCATGGGCGGAGTGACCTGTGGAAGGAGGTCGGAGGGGAGCGAGGAAAGGCTCTCTTTCTGGCATGACTTGGACAGGAGAGAATCGGGTTGAATTTCCTGGTGTTCATCTGTCTAGGTTGTAAGTTATTTCTCCCTGAATAAACATCTATTCGGCCTATTTGTTTATCCTGATCCTTATTTAACCGAGATATCTGGTGTCAGAAGTGGGATTACCTGGGTTTCACCCAGGCGGCAGAAGCCGCCCCCGCCCCCACCTTCCCCAATGGGCAGGGTTTAACCAGGTGGACTCACCACAGCTTTGGGACATTTGCCTCTTCCTTACCGCAAAGGAGATCTTTGCCACTAAAGCAGACCTAAAGACACTCACCGCTTAACATTTTTTGCCCATTTCCGCACGGGACTTTGCATTTGCGCAGAGCTGCTCGGCGGCACCCGCCCTTGGGCACTCGGCTTGCACACGTTTTGTCTTGTGTTCCAAGTTACTCCAAAAATCCCCTTTTAACAAAATTCTGCTTGCCATAGTTTGTTAAGAGCTATTCTACAGGGACCGGAACTACAAACATCACCCTAAAACCGGTTTGAGACTGTTTTGCTCGAGACAACTCATGACTAGCTAGCTGTAATGGTGCACCTTTTTATTACACCCTGGCCAGAGTTTCAAATAGAACTACAGTCAAGAATTTTCTGCCACACAGTGACTAGCTACATATGTCACAGCCAGTTCTGTTGAGAAATTTGGTTGCTAAAAATTTTCTTCCTACAGGATCCATTGGAGCAATCATCGTCCCATTTCAGCAGGAAGTAATCTTAAAATAACAACGCCCCCTTTCCCTACCCTTGGAATTTTGGGATAATAGTCATCGTCTTTGGGTTGGTTTTAGTTATTTGGGATTGGGTGATGCTTACACTCGGGTTTATCTTTTAGACAGGAATAGGGAATGGTTGGGAAAGTTATGGTTTAGATGGGATATAGGTAGATTAGCCTATTTTCTTGAGAATTTGAGTAAGAATGAGATAGTATTTTACAGCTTACATTGTTGTATATTCTTATGTGGTAAGCTATGTAAAATTAAGTTCATATTTTGTTATATTGTGTTAAATCTTTCCACTTACAATGTTTTATGCACATTATTTTTTTTACCATATTCTATGTATGTATACTTTTCTTGTATTCAAGACATTTTGTATATTGATACAATTTGGGATATTTATCTTGCTGCCCTTTATAGTTCTACCTCTTGTCTTGACACTTATACTCTACCTCTATTTTATGGATTTACATGTATGTAATTGTAATAGTTATATTGTTTAAGTATTTGTTCCTGCTTTACTCAGGGAAGTTTTAATCAGTCTTTTTAGCTAAGTTCCCGAGTATTACAGATTATCTTCACTCACATTTCCTGTACCTATGAGATTAGTCAGATATAGATGCTTAATCTTCAATCACTTCATAGACATGCAGAACATGGCATTTAAATGTTTTAATATTAGTACTCCATTGACATGAGACATTGTTGCTCCTGACAGCACCGTGCACTTTCCCGAAAATATGTTGGACACTGTTGTTGCTCCTGCTAGAGTTCAATCTCGCCTCAGCTAATGGCCTGTTGGGCAAAGAATTGCCCCCACCTTGACCACTGATTTGGACATGCAGTCCTATATGCTTGCAGGAGACAAATATAAAAGACTGCTTGACCTTGCCAAGTCAGGGTAAGACAGCCATTCTACCTCCCTGCTGTTGTTGTGGTCTGTCAAGTTCTCTTGGCCTTAGCCAAATCTGGGTGTACCAACGTGACTGTGAGACCTAGGGTGACTGTTCAGGTGGCTTGCTGTTTCTGTCCTTGCTGCACCTTTTGGAAGTTGTCCATCCGCATTTCCTGTCTACTCTAGTATTGTTAATTTCCTTCTCAGGTCTGGATGAGGTTGAAGATTAAACTATCACAACTATTATTCTCTCTTCCTAGTTAGATATATTAGGTACTAGACTTACGTTTTCCAGTTTAGGACAACTCTATTGTAAACTCCATTATGCCCTCACCCTAGGACTAGATATGTAGGTCATTTTGTTCTCAATTTTCCTTTTCTTAGAGCACACTTGTTATTCACTGTTTTGTATATAGTTTTGTATTAAGCCTAAATCTTTTCTTTAGACTAAAAGGGGAATTGTAGTGAGATAGTCCATCTGTGGCACTGACCACGCCCATTGGGGGTGGAGCCATGGGCGGAGTGACCTGTGGAAGGAGGTTGGAGGGGAGCGAGGAAAGGCTCTCTTTCTGGCGTGACTCGGACAGGAGAGGATCGGGTTGAATTTCCTGGTGTTCATCTGTCTAGGTTGTAAGTTATTTCTCCCTGAATAAACATCTATTCGGCCTATTTGTTTATCCTGATCCTTATTTAACTGCGATACCCTGATGAGCACTATACACTTTAAAAACTCTTAATATGTACAACTACAGCTTAGTATACTCTTGCCATAGGTATGGCAGTGATGATCCCCTTTCTTTTGGAAATTCAAACTTAATTATTCATTGGGAAAAAAATATTGTTTATTATTTAAGCTATTCAGTTTCTAGAAGAAAATTGACATGCAAAATTTTGCCTGTATTCTTAGATTTATTTGAAAAACTAGAATTAGGAAAACTGTGATGCTGTCTTGAAGGATATTATTGATATAGATT